CATACGGAACTTTGTATATAACTATAATAAAAATCACTTAAATTTGTGCACTTATTCACTAATGCAATGAAGATTCAATTTAGATTTTTTTAAAAGAAAATTCAAGAAAAACTTAGCAATCATAATAATATACAAATTTGTATACTACCTAAGTAAAAATGAGTTAAATTCGTGCTTAAATTCCAGAACAAGTTAGCATTCATAATAATATGCAACTTTGTATACAACTGTAGTAAAAATGAGTTAAATTTGTGCATTGATTCGCTAATTCAATGAAGATTCAGTTTGGATTTTTATTTAAGTAAGTTCAAGAAGAAGCTAGCAATCATACTAATATACATTTACAGTAAAAATTAGTTAAATTCGTGCATTGATTCATGAATATAATAAAGATTCAGTTTTGATTTTTGTTTAAAAAAACGTTGTTAGCAATCATAAAGGTGCATCATGCAGAGTCAAGTGGATAGGCATACCATTAATCATATTAAAAGAGTTGAAAATGTAGGAGGAAATACTTGACCACTAAGTGTCTCCCCCTACATTTTCAACTCTTTAAAATTTTCAATAGATGCATAAACAAATTTGAATGCAAAAAAATAAATAAATATTGTAAAAACTCCCAAGAAGTTTTCTTAGTGATAATCTTGCAGACTTAAAACCCTATTGAGAGAGCAGTAAAAGTATTTTGTGCAGGAAAAGTACGTTTTATTGTAAGCATAGAAATATTGCTTTTACCGGACTCTCAATAAATTTTGGCTTCAGAAGTCTGAAAACTACTGAAATTTACTTTATTGTGCTCGGAAAAATGCACAGTAGCAAGAGCAAAAGCAACTTTTATTACAGGTTTTATCCCGTGGTCTTTGGCTCTTTCGAGAAAAAAAAAATAGAATTTCGTGCAATTTTTTCGTTAACATCGTTATTTTTAATGAATGAAAATATTGTTCTTCATTTAGAGAAATCACTCGATATAATATTATGCATAAATGAAATCATTTTTTTTTGTTCTTAATGCCTGAAGACGAATAGCGCAAAATAACGCGTTTCTTGAAGTCTCCGTTCCAAATGTCGCTTCCTATAAATCCATTTAAAGTCAGAGAGGTTGAATTGATGATACGGTATGGATTGAAATATAAAAAAATCGCCAGGTTATGATTTAATTACATCAGAGGTTCTGAGGCAGCTGTCAACTGCTGGTCTGAGGAATGTTACACTTATTTTTAATGCCATTCTAAGACTTGGCATTTTTCCAGTACAGTGGTTCAGTTTTGATTTTTTTCAAAATAAAATCATGTAAAAGATAGCAATCATAATAATATACATATTTTTATACAACTTAAACAAAAATGAGTTAAATTCGTGTATTGATTCACTAATATAATGAAGATTCAGTTTTGATTTTTTCTTAAACTATTATATTTTTCTTGTAATTTGTGCTTTTAAAAATTGTAAAATATTCCGCTTAATTTTCTTTTCCTTGCATTAATCTATACTTCTTCCTTGTTATATAACAGCGAAGATTTCAAAAAATCTCAAAATTTATGACAATTTACACTTGATTCAATCAATGATTTTTTTCAAAATACATTCAAGAAAAAGTTAGCAATCATAACCATATGGAACTTTGTATACAACTATAGTAAAAGTCAGTTAAATTCGTGCACTGATTCACTAATCCAAAGAAGATTCTATTTTGCAGTACAAATCAGATAAATTTGTGCTTAAATTCAAAAAAAAGTTAGAAATCATAATAATATACAATTTTGTATACAACTTAAGTAAAAATGACTTAAATTCGTGCTTAAATTCCAGAGCAAGTTAGCAATCATAATAATATGGAACTTTGTATACAACTGTAGTAAAAATGAGTTCAATTTGTGCATTGATTCACTATTTCAATGAAGATTCAGTTTTTTTTTAAGAAAATTCAAGAAAAAGCTAGCAATCATGCTAATATACATTTGCAGTAAAACTTAGTTAAATGCGTGCATTGCTTCACTAATCTATTGAAGATTCAGTTTTGATTTTTGTTTAAATAAATTAATAACGTTTTTAGCAATCATAAAGGTACATCATGCAGAGAGTCAAGTGGATAGGCATACCATTAATCATATTAAAAGAGTTGAAAATGTAGGAGGAGACACTTGACCACTAAGTGTCTCCTCCTACAATTTCAATTCTTTTAAATTTTCAATAGATGAATAAACAAAATTGAATGCAAAAAAATAAATAAATATTGTAAAAACTCCCAAGAAGTTTTCTTAGTGATAATCTTGCAGACTTAAAACCTTATTGAGAGAGCAGTAAAATTATTTTGTGCAGGAAAAGTACGTCTCAACCCGATTTTATTGTAGGCATAGAAATCTTGATTTTACCGGACTCTCAATAAATTTTGGCTTCAGAAGTCTGAAAGCTACTGATATTTACTTTATTGTGCTCAGAAAAATGCATAGTAGCAAGAGCAAAAGCAACTTTTATTACAGGTTTTATCACGTGGTCTTTGGCTCTTTCGAGAAAATAGAATTTCGTGCAATTTTTTCGTTAACATCGTCATTTCTAATTTATGAAAATATTGTTCTTCATTTAGAGAAATCACTTGATTTAATAGATATTGAAGCGGATTGCTTACCAAAAGAAATTCTATGAAAATCGTAGAGTTTACTACATCGAAATTCTAGTTTTCTCACTAACAATGTTTATTTTAATTACCGCCAGTTTTAGAGACTAATACCTTATCTAAATCTTCGTTTCTAGTAAGAAAGTTGAATTTT